GGGCAGCAGACACATGCAATTAAACAGCAAAGTTCAAGCTCCGATAAGTGCAATTATAAATGAAAAGACACAATGCTGTTAGTTACAACATGGATAAGACAGCTTTCATTTTAATAAGGTAATATTTGAATTTAGCTCTGCAGGATAGGTAGAATTCTTGTAAGTAGAGAAAAGAGGCAGAGGATATTTCAAGCAAAGAAAACTATGTAAACAAGTATTTGGGGGTAGGGAGCAGGCAGCATATTTGGATAACTGTGCATTGCTCTTTTGGTTTGGGACATGGCATTTACAAGGATTGGGGTGACAAAGTGACGGGGAAATAGGGCATGGAGTGGGTCAGGAGATGAAGCAGGAGAGGCAGGTGGATGTCAGGTGGTAAAGACTAAATGTCATGTTAAGAATTTGGACTTTAACTTCTAGAAAATAGTGAGCCATTGACGTTTTGAATCACATTTGTGTTGTGGAAGATAACTCTACCTAGAGGTAGGGGGACCATGGCAGAGTCATCAGTGGGAGTCTGGTGCCAGAGGCCTGATCTAGAACAGGAGTGTTGGGCAGGAAAGGAGGCACTGGGGGATAGACCAGAGCGTGGCATGTGTTTTGCAAGGTAACTGGGTTGGGGGCAGTGCAATTCATGAATTCAAGGAAGACATAAGAGGGAGTGGCTTCAAGGCATGGGAGTATGGATAGGCAGTGGACTGGGAGGATGGATAGGGAGTGGGTTGGGAGGATGGGTCGGGAGTGGGTTGGGAGTGGGTTGGGAGGATGGATAGGGAGTGGGTTGGGAGTAGGTTGGGAGGATGGATAGGCAGTGGGTTGGGAGGATGGATAGGGAGTGGGTTGAGGGGATTGATTGGGAGTGGGTTGGGAGGATGGATTGGGAGTGGATTGGAGGATGGATTGGGAGTGGATTGGGAGGATGGATTGGGAGTGGATTGGAGGATGGATTGGGAGTGGATTGGGAGGATGCATACGGAGTGGATTGGGAGGATGGATTGCGAGTGGGTTGGGAGGATGGATACGGAGTGGATTGGGAGGATGGATTGGGAGTGGGTTGGGAAGATGGATAGGGAGTGGATTGGGAGTGGATTGGGAGGATGGATAAGGAGTGGGTTGGGAGGATGGATAGGGAGTGGATTGGGAGTGGATTGGGAGGATGGATAAGGAGTGGGTTGGGAGGATGGATTGCGAGTGGGTTGGGAGGATGGATACGGAGTGGATTGGGAGGATGGATTGGGAGTGGGTTGGGAGGATGGATAGGGAGTGGATTGGGAGTGGATTGGGAGGATGGATAAGGAGTGGGTTGGGAGGATGGATTGGGAGTGGATTGGAGGATGGATTGGGAGTGGATTGGGAGGATGCATACGGAGTGGATTGGGAGGATGGATTGCGAGTGGGTTGGGAGGATGGATACGGAGTGGATTGGGAGGATGGATTGGGAGTGGGTTGGGAGGATGGATAGGGAGTGGATTGGGAGGATGGATAAGGAGTGGGTTGGGAGGATGGATTGGGAGTGGATTGGAGGATGGATTGGGAGTGGATTGGGAGGATGCATACGGAGTGGATTGGGAGGATGGATTGCGAGTGGGTTGGGAGGATGGATACGGAGTGGATTGGGAGGATGGATTGGGAGTGGGTTGGGAGGATGGATAGGGAGTGGATTGGGAGTGGATTGGGAGGATGGATTGGGAGTGGACTGGAGGATGGATAGGGTGTGGATTGGGAGGATGGATTGGGAAGATGGATAGAGTGGATTTGGAGGATGGATTGGCAGTAGATGGTGCTGACTCCCTGGGATTACTTTTCTGAGTCTCCTGGGGAGGTGACTGGACTGGAGATTGTGGACTCATCCAGCCTAAGTGGGTGGTAAAACCCTGGTTGTAGATTTAGATTGTCCAGAAATTATATGAAGTGTCCAAGGGCTCAACACAGCTGCTCGAGGGAGAAGCTGGAAGAGTCTGACAATGAAAGGTTGGGGAGACAGGAAGGGACACCCAGGATCAAGGAGTGATTTGGAAGTGAGCAGAGCTGTTTCAGCCAGGGAGCTAGGAAGCAGTTCTGTCCTAGGGGTTGAGGGCTTGGCATTTGGCTGAGCGGGGAGGATACACATTCATACCTGTGCAAAGCTAAGTGGGTATCCATGGACACAAAGCAGCAGTCAGTGGGCAAGATCGGCTCCCTTCTGCAGCCTCACCCCAGGATTAAGTGGCACCTCAACTGCCTTCTGTGTCTATCTAGAAGGGATACCTGCTAGGAGGGGAGAGCATCTCTTCTAAGACTCCTGGTCTCTCCCCTTTAATTTCCCCTTTGGGGCCTCCCTGTCCTGTGTGACCAGGACACAGGAGGTCACTCTATGACCTGTCTGTGGCTGTGTGACCAGGACACTGACATGCAGAAGGGCTATTTTGCTGCAATGTAAGGGAACTGGGGCAAGTGCTATCCAGATGGGAGTCTAGCCACACAGTTGTGAGTTACTTAGCCCAGAACAAGCTTCAAAGCATAGAGCAGCCCCTTACGCTCCCAGCAGTTAGTTGTACTGTCCTCTCCAGCTCCGGTCTTCCCATGGTTCCAGTTCCAGGGGGTAGGGAGAGTTTCAGGAATGGTTTCCATCCTTTCTTATCCAACTTTCTCCACGGATGCGCAGCCCTGCCCCAGCTCTCTTTGCGCCTTGGGCTTGTAAAGAAGGCAGGCTCTTTAGTAGGGATCAGGCTCATTTCTCAGCTTCATGTTAGTGCTGCCCTGCACAGCCCCCTGAATCCTGACTTGCAGAGTCTGCCAGGAACATCCCAAGCCGGCCTCTCACCAATTCTTGCTCAGAACACTTTTCTTGATGCCTATCAGCGGCTTCCCATTGCCCTGAGGATAAAAGCTGGAATCACCAGGAATTATTGGGCCAGTCCTGCACTGGTGCCTTTCACACAATGCCCCTCCTGCCCCAGGGCCTCTGCACACACTGCTTCTGTTCCAGATGCAGAATCATTTTCCCACTGTGACACCCCAATTCTTGGCTCCTTTACCTCATCTTCTGAACATCTCCTGACCTTTCTCAAGTGCTATCTCTTCAGGGCTCTGAACTGTGTTTGAATTACACATTTATTCACGGGAACATCTGCTGAATCTCTATCTCAGCCAAGGACCACATCTTTCCCCTCCACATATCTTGGCCCAGGTCTCAGTGAAGAGTGGCTCCTCCTGCCCACAAATGGTTGAAAGAATGGAGCAGCTGGTGACCTCTTTTTACGAATGCCCACATCTACAGGGAGTAGATGTGTTTCTTTTCCTGCTAGAAGGGAGATGTGACTCACCCTAGAACAAGCTTGTGTGCTGCTTTGTAGCTGTAACACCCCAAATTCTTCCAGCAGTACCCCTGGATGGAAAGTGAAGACGTACTATTTGAGAGCCAAGCCATGGCCGTTCCTCTTGCAAATTTAGCTCTTGGTATCCCTCTGCAGCCTGGGCCGGTCAGCATTAGGGAGGGAGACCTGGGGAGTCACTGGGTCGAACAGTTCGGAACTCTCTGGTTGGAAACGGGGCTGAACCAAAAGGTGGCTTGGCTTTGGAGTTCTGAACTATCCTTTCCCAAACAGGCTTGCAAAACTTGGCCTTGACGTGTCATGACCAGTAGGTGCTCTAAAAAGCAACATGGAGAGGTGGCCAGAAGGCAGGATTCAAGGGCATTTGGAGGGATGAATGTCCCTGCCCAAGGACATGGGCCTAGAAAGGGGTGTGGTTTTCAATCTTCCGCCTAGAACACATGGAAAGGAAAGGGCGATTGTAATGCAGTCCTCCGTTTATAGAGGAAAAGACAGGAACGGAAGGGTTAGGCACACAGATGGGCAAGATTTGAGTCTGGCTTTGGAGAAGGAGTTTTAGCATTCAGAGAAACCCCAGGGACTTCAGGACTGGGCCAGAGTGGCGTCCATTCAGCCAAGTCCCATGATTAAGGGGTCAGAGCTGTGAGGGGAGGCTCTTCGGCTACTCTTCCTCAGTAGCTATTTATGGTTCCTCTACTGGTTCCAAATCCTTCTTGAGTTCATGTATATTTCCTGCCTTTTGAGACCTGACCATTTAAAGTGATTCAATCATCTAGGGCAGAGCTGGAAGAGACGTCAGGATCATCTAGTCCATCTCCCTAATTTCACAAATGAGAAAACAGGTGCAGAACCGGGGGTAGCAGAGGCAGGGCCAGGTTTCTTCCCAGCAGTACCCATCGTGCCCAGCTTGGGGTTTGTAAGGCAGTCTCCATGGCCCTGCCCAGGCTTGGATAATGACAGCCTTTCTCAGTAGCCACTCTCTCCACGCAGCCCGGCCCTACACACACCTTGACTGAGGCTGGACAGCCTCCATCTCAGCATGGCTCCTGGCTACTGACACTTGTGTTTCTTTGGTTTCTACCAGTGCCTGGTCCCTGTCCCTTCCTACAAGCTCTGGCCCCTAATAGTAAGAGCCAATTTCTTGAGCATTCACTATGATTCCCATGGGGTCAGTCTTCTACTAATCACGGTTTTCCTACGGGAGGAAGCAGACTCAGAAGCTGACAGCAGAGATGTGCTCCACGTCGCCTCACAGGCAAGGTTGCCGAGCTAGGATTTACATCTTCACATTCAAAATTCGTCATCTTGAATTTCGACTCGTGGGGACTGGACTGAGGAGGGGGTGGTACTGCGTGGCAGGGCCAGAGTTGGAAGGAGCTTGAAAAGAGGGTTCCAGCAGATCTACGTCTATGGTTCAGGTGAGGGCCATCCCCCCCAGCTCCCCACCTGGCTCTAGCTGTTAAATGACAACTACAACTGGAGCTGGCTCCTGCGCCCACGACACAGCCATTCATGCTTTTGGTTCCTATTCCCCTTAATTACCAAGGCTCCCAATTAACGTGGGCTGGTGTGTCTGGTGCTGGGTTATTTTCTCTTATTTTTCCGTTCCTCGGAGTTTACTATTGCGAGAGACACCAGCTCTGTCATTGCGTCTGCCCTGCTCCCTTCCCACCCTAACCGGAGGGAAACCGAAAAGCAACAGCTGATGGCAAATTCGCTCCGGCGCTAGCACGCCCCCTCGGCGGCCGTCTCCTGTTGCTTCTCGGAGCCTGACTGCCCTTTGGAAAAATCTCCCCGCTCCCCCGCGAGAGAAGGGAGCAGAGGACGCGCGCGAGCACGGAGCGGGAGGACGGGCAGGGAGAGGAGAGGGGGTCTGCGCGCCGCCGCTACCCAGAAGCCAGCTGACGGCGGCACGAGCCGGGGGGTCCCCGCGCCCAGCCCGGAGCGAGCCCCCGCCCTCGCCCCCGCCCCCGCTCCCGCAGGACGCGCCTCCCAGCCGGCCCGACTCCTAGGAGGAGGGGAGGCGGGAAAGCAGCTCGAGCCTCACCCACCGCCCTGCCCCCAGCCCCGCCACTCCCAGGCTCCTCGGGACTCGGCGGGTCCTCTTGGGAGTCTCGGAGGGGACCGGCTGTGCAGGTAGGCGGCTGGAGAGGTGGGCAAAGTTGGCTCCTCTTTCCGAGGCGGGGCGAGGCTCGGTGGGGACGGATCTCGGGAGCACCGGGTTTTATTTGTTCAGTGGGTGTGTGCGGTCCTCCGCAGGCAGCGGGAAAGCGGGCTGGGGATGTAAACAAGGAGACCGGCGTCGGAAGAGGGGGGCTTCTGGGGGAGGCAGGCTCTGGCGCTGGGGGTGACGCTGGTGGCTGGGAATTGCTCTCGCTGCTGCCGTGAGCTTGCGGCCAGGGTTTTCGGGAGAAGGGGAAAGGGCTGCGCCCACCCTTTATCCGTGAGTTTTCCCTTTGTTACTTGGAAGCTGTGGACACTTGGTGGAGCGTGGGGAATTGCGGACGAGGGCGTGTGGCTGGATGTGAGTGTGGACACATGAGCGACACAAAATGGAACTTGCTGGTTTGGTGCTTCGGGAAGGTGGGGCTGGGCAGTGGGCACAGGTTGGGGGCGCAGGGAAAGAAGGATTCTAGAGCTTGGGGATTCTGGAGAGTGCATCATTTCCCCCTCCTCGTCTATCCATCCAATCCTGTTTCCTTTCCTGGGCTCCCTGGGGGTGCCCCATTTCCCCCTTTCCCCAGCAGAGCTGGCCCTGGTAGAGCTTCCCCTATTGTGTCTCCCGGGCTTCCGTGGAGAGTTGGGTGTGCAGCCTGGGGCTCCTAGCTCTGGCTTCTGGCTCTTGCAAGTGGTGGCTGGTAGAGGAGGCACCAGAGGGTGGGAGCTGGGAGCAGCCTCGCTGGAAACATGGACCTGCCCGGTCCCTTGCTGCAAGCCTGCACGCTCCGGGCGTTGTAGCTACTGGGGCTTCTTCCCCATCAGTGTGGCCTCTACCTTCACTTCCTTTGTCTCTGTGGCTTCGTGCTCTCTGGCTGGGCTGGGATTTCCAGCTTTGAAGATGGATCAGTGGGCATCCCAGGCCCTCCCTAGAAGGAGCCCCCTCTGGGGATCCAGCCGTCCTCATATTATGGATGTATATGTCTGTGTCCGCAACTTAGCCTTTTGCACGTGACCTGCCTGGTCGTTGCCATGGAAACCCCTCCATTTCTCAGCCTCCCTTTTTTTTCTGCCCATTCCTCACCTCCATATCTCCTCCCTTCCCCCCAATATGGTTGCCTAGATACTAGTTATCCCTGGCTAGGAGACCTACATATGTGGCTCCTACACCCAATTGGAGTGGCCCCTTACTCACACCACCCCTTCACACACACTGCACATCACCACGCCATAGACACATATAGACACATACCACACTACTCAATCAACACACCCTCACACTCACACCACACATACATCATACCACGTATACACACATACACATCAAACATACTGCATATATACCACACCACCACACACCACCTACAATGCTACACTGACACCCTACACTCACACTATGCATGCGCGCGCGCACACACACACACACACACACACACACACACACCGTGTACATCTAAATAAGCCTCAGGCTGGGCTGAGGCAGGGGAGAGAGAGGGCAGTTTCCTTCCTCATCCAGCATCTCCCTAGGGGTGTAGAGGGGAAGATGTGGAGGCTCAGGAAGCCCGCAAGGAAAACCCTAACATCTTCCTGGGAACCCTGCAGAAGAAGGTGGAGAAAAAAGCACTGCCAGATTCCCTCAGAAGGGGACCCCCTCCCTAAACCCTGCCTGGATAAAGGGTGGGCACAGCCCTTTTCCATCCTCCTAAAAGCCCTAGTCCTGAGCTCCAGGTGTTAACAAGAGCCTTTCCCAGGTGCTGCGCTCCAGAGGCTGGGCACGGACTAGAATTTCAATCTCTCTACTGCTGCTGCTCTCTGCCCTGACCCGGAGAAAGCCCAAGGCTCTGGGAGTCATCCTCACCAGCAGAGTGTCAAGGCAGGCTCTGGGACCATGGGAGGCTCTGAGCCCCCACAAAGGAGAAAAGGAAAAGCGGTTACTGTTCCAGGAAAGCCGAGGAGGGCAGGCCAGAGAGACAGGAAGAAGGAAATGAAGAGAGGGAAGGAGAGGGGCCACAGGAGCCAAGAAAGTGAAAGTTAGGGCTACCCACCGTTGCCTGGGGGTCAAGCCAGCCTCTCTCCCAACACATTTTCCCGCTTCTTGCTTGGCTCCTCTAACCAGATCTGTGTATCTAGAAGAGGAAGCAGGTGTGTAAAGGGCTCCAGGCTTGCCAGGCTTCTCCCAAGACCTGTGGCTTCTGCAGTTCTCGGACGGTAGGCACCTGGGGGAAGAATTTCCTTCCTGGCTTCCACTGAATCTTTGGACTGACCTGAGGACCCATTTCATTCAATCATTCAAGAAACTGTTTTAAGTGTCTACTGTGTATTAATTGCTGGGGACATGAAGGTGAGGAGGGAGACATAGTCCCTGACATTGGAATCCTATGTTTCTCAGAGCTGAAAAAGGCCTTGAAGGAGCACCCAGTCGGGACATAGTTGGGAAACTGAGGCTCAGCAGTCGCATGGCCAGTAGTAGCTGAGGCCTTCTGACTCCTCGGCCAGGATTTTGGCCTTCACACTGCCAGTCCTGCATCTCCTGCCTTCTTTTCTCAGTCACCGTCAGAGATAGTGGGTCGATGGAAGCCTTTGGAGGGAGAGCCTTTGGTCAGCTGGTGACTGGGATGCCCTTCCAAAGTGAGGGTCCCCTAGTGGGTGGGAACACCTGAGGAGCCTGCTTTACAATGTTTTCTTGGAAGGCAAGTCTGGAAGGTGTGGCAAGGAGGGAGGGGGGGAAGGAGCAATTTACTAGACCCTGGAAACTCCCTGAAAGCCTCAGGGGAGTCAGCCCACTGAGGCTTCCCCTAAATAAGAGCACCTCCTCTCTTCTTCCCAGCCCTGTTGGACTTAGTCGGCTGCCATCTGGATGGCAGACTGTGCCAGGCAGCCCCCAAGACTCACCTTTGAACAAATCACCTTCTGAGCACCCTGGAGGAAGCAAACCAGTCACAAAAGGCACAGCCTCAAGGAGGCAGGGAGCCTGGAGTGGAAAGGCCGGGTTCTAGTCCCAGCTCTGCCCCTGAGCTGCCATTCTACCCAAAGGCAAATGCATTCACTGTGTAAATACCCCTTTGGAGGCAAACTGGGCTTCTGGTGAAATCCAGAAATGGCTTAGACTGCTCTTCGGCGACGGAAAGCCTTGCAGATTTTAGACCTCTGTTTTCGCATCTGTTAATAGTGGGGTTTAGATTCATGATTTCCAAGGCATGTCTTCCTCTAAATTTGTGTGGATTATAAAATCTTGAAAGAGATCCCTTTTCTCTCCAGATACCAAATACTGCTCGTTATTTCACAATACAGGGCTGCAGCTGAGCTGAGCAGGAAGGGGCTGGACTCTGGTTACCCTGGAGAAAGCCTCCTTTTCACCCAGTGTGGCAGAAAGTGCCCAAGAAGCTGAAACCAAGCTATTTTCTTTAGGGCCGAAGGAGCCGGCTCCTCCTGGACACTGCGGTCTACCTGGTCTTTTCTACCAGGCTGCACACTGGGTGGTGTCTTTAAAGAGTTGCCCTCTGGAGAGGGTGAGACCCAGGGCCATCATTTTGGAGGTCCATGAACTCTTCTACAGGGAGAACCCCTGGCCAGCTGGAGAGTTGCAACAAGAGGGGCTGGTGGGGAACACAGTGCCCTGACACAGTCCCTGATGAGAGGCAGGACATCTCTGGCCGAAACAAAAGCATGCCACCAATTTGGCAGCATCGTCTCTGCTCCAGAATAGTGGAGGAGGGAGAGGCCCTGATCTGGGAGGGGATGAAGCCGGCTTGGAGGCTGCACAGGAACATGTTTGTTCCAAAGATGTGGGTGGGAGCACGCAGCCTGGGAAGGGGCCTGGGGCCGTGGGAGTGGGGCTGTCCCGCTCAGAAAATCTGATATGGGCAGAGAGGGCCAACGATGAAGGGACATAGTTGGAATGACAGTAACCCCCACGTAGTTGGAGGACCTAGCCAGGCCCCAGTTGAGATACCAGAGGCCAAGGTTTCAAACTCCCCCTTTTACCCTTTTAATAAATGTTCCCCCATAGGGCAGGCAGGCCCTGTGGGCTTCTGAGGTTTCTCGTTCACTGGAGCCCTCCTGCTGAGGCACAGCAATGGGCTTGTCCTGTTCCTTCCCCTCCCCCACTGCCCACCTCACGTCCACCTCCTTCTAGGGGGCTCTGCGACCTTCGTCCTCCGTAGGAAGAGCCTCTCCATGCAATCACATGTGCACTCACGCTCGCACACACCTTCCCTTCCACACATGAGCATAATCTTCCACACCCGACAGGGAGGCTGGGGCTCACAGGTTCTCACGTGCCCTCTCACCTTGCCTGAAGAGCTGCAGTCTCTCAGACCATGGTGAAGACCTCTGAATCTCCACCCTCTCAGCCCACTGCATTTTACCCACTGGTGCTATAGCTTAGGCTCAGTTTTGCCACTCCTCTGCAGGCTTGACAGTGCCTGTTTTTTTTTTTTTTTGAAATGGAGTTTCAATTTTGTTACCCAGGCTGCACTGCAATGGCCCCATCTTGGCTCACCGCCACCTCCGCCTCCCAGGTTCAAGCAATTCTCCTGCCTCAGCCCTCCGAGTAGCTGGGATTACAGCTACTCTCAGATTATTTTATATTTTTAGTAGAGGCAGGGTTTCTCCTTGTTGATCAGGCTGGTCTTGAACTCCAGACCTCAGATCATCCACCCGTCTCAGCCTCCCAAAGTGCTGGGATTACAGGCATGAGCCACCGTGCCCAGCCAACAGTGCCTATTCATAAGCACAGGTACCTGGTGTGGGCACTCCAGGCTCAGGGTGACCTGCCTGCAGCTACCTCTGCAGGCACCTTCTCCAGATGGTCATCCAAAGCCTGGTACTGTCCCACCCTCTGCCTGAGCTCAGGCCCTGCTAGAATGTGCCACGTAGATGGTGGCAGTCTTTGTAGGCACACAAACTTGGATTCTAACCTGAATTCTGATACGTCCTAGATTTCTTCCCTTTTCTAAGCCTCATTTTCCTTACCTGTC